GAGTGTGAACTCAAACTGATTCCTTATTTAGTTCACTTTGAAAAAACCGAACCATTTTGGTAACAAGGCAATAATCATGTCAATTTGAAACTTACCATTTAAGTCAGCCCTATTGACCTCCAGTTCAATATTTAAATAATAAACAATCATTTTTCAAAATCCGATATCAAACTGGAGTTCCTCAGGCTATCTTGATGGTATTTAAATCTGACACAGTACTTAGGCATATGCTCTATCTAATCTCACCAAAACATCTCATTGACATTTAACATGATGCTTGAAGAAAATAAAATAATGCAAATGTTAGCTTTGGAGCATATTCGAGCTAAACTCTAAAATATTGCACCAAGTCATATTATTTGCCTTATCTAATTTATTAAAAGCATTAATGTCAAATTCGGTATCTCAAAGTAAAAGGATTAGGTATAGGAGTAGTAAATACATTTTGTACCCTTACGTTGTGAATAAAATATCTAAGTTCCTTTTCCAGTCATTATAAATAAGGTCCAATATCATAGAATATGTAAGCAAACAGATAAAATGGATTAGACATAATTCATCTAAATATAAATGCATTCATACAATATGCAAGGTGAATTATTAATACTATCATGCATCTTTAAAATTAAAATGAGTTTGTTAACCACATAATATAATAAATCTCAATCGAATAAGAGATCATTATTATTATTGGTGAACAATCCCTTTTAATTAATGCGGGTCCCTCAACTCTGTAGTATAATAAATCAACCAATCAATATGTCAATAACTTATCCTGTTGGAGGAGTTCACTGTTACTATTGTTGAGATTCATTTGCTATTAGGCGAGCACTTCCATTAAAATAGTATGTGGGTCCCTTAACCACTGCATGAAAAATCGGATAACCAATACGCTAATAACTTATTTGGTTGGCGAAGTTCATTATTGCTATTGGCCGGCAAATCCCATCATCTACATATCTCTTAAGACAATGTCTTGTCTATCTATATGAAATGATTCCTGATTATGTTTAGCCTTTCTAAAATCACATAGTGTATACCACTCCGTTGGAGAGTTAACACTATTGATTTTAAATTGAGTGTATAACGTTATTAATACTCTAATGAAAAATAAAACATTAAATATTTTGTCATTATAATCTAGATTCTTTAAATCATGTGTAGGGCCTTATTTTTAAAGATCTAATTATAATGAACATTTAATATTTTAATTTTCATGAGACAACCATTCTTCTAATATTAAGACTCTTCAAATCATGTGTGGGGCCTTATTTTTGAAGATCTAATTATAATGGTTTTAATAACGAATGCCATGGGGCAATGTATAAAAATTCCCACTCCCACTCAATTTTTAATCATACATAATTAGGGTTTTCATTTTATTCATTTACATGATACAATGCATGCAAAACGTCTTGATTTTAATCCAATTAAATTTAGAAAATATTTGGACTTTAAACGATTCACTAATATTTAATTTGAGGCACACTTTAAAAATAATTTACAAAAATGATTTTTCGTTTCCCAATAAGTGCCCTCAAATTAATTAGTATTTAAATCCAATTAATTTTCATAATTTAATTAATATAAATCAAGTCATTTAAATAAATATCATTGATCCAATGCATGAATAATAATTAATTAATAATTATCTATTCTATGCATTTCATACATCACATAAATAAATAAATAATAGACAAAAACAAATAAAACGGCCAATGGATTTAGCTTTTAACATTCAATTACTCTAAATATTGCGCAAGGGTCTTTCAACGGCTTGCAAACGCCTGCAAGAGGTTGGTATGTGCCTGAAAAGGTAAAACAGCGCTTATGACGCGCCCGGAAGACCCCGCACACACTAGCACAGGCCTGAGGGATGAAGCAGCGCGTGGCACGCGCCCCCACGTGCTTGGGAGGTGCTGTGGCGCGTGGCATGTGCTTGGATGCGCCTCTACGCGCCTAGAAGGCGCGTCAGCCAACAACCGCGCATGAAACCACGCGCCTAGGATGCAGACTTGCCTGGTGCGTGCTCCTCACGCGCCAGGGATCTTAACTTTGACTGGCGCGTGTTCTGCAGGCGCCAGTGTGTTGACCTTGACTGGCGCGTGCTCCTCACGCACCAGAAGTTACTCCGACTTTCTCCTCCTCGCCCCTTGCCTTCGGCAATGCCCCGGCCACCGGAAAATCGCCGTTAAATTCCAGAAATTTTTTAAAAAATTCCAAATAATATAAATTAAGTCCAAAAAATTCCAGAAATTTCCTAAAGCCTAATTTAACCCTTTTGGATATTCTTGAAGCTTCATAACATCCTTTGATAAAGATTACATGACTTTAAATAAATTTACAATTTGAAATACAATGAAAAAAATTAAATTACATCATTGAACTTTCAAAGGGCTAAATCAAAGCCTTAATTACATTCATCTAAAGATTAAAATTACATTCAATTGACCTATAAGCTTCATCCATGGTCCAAACGTACATTATCATCCATTCACAATTATACATACATTATCATGTATCAATATATTAATTCATACATCAACATACATCAATAAATAAATATATACATATCAAAATTGGATCCATGAATGATGAATTTTGATAAAAACATGATCTCTAGTAATGAATCAAACCATGCTCTGACACCACTGTAAGGAAACGTGTTAATTTTAAAAACTTTCTGAGGGATTTTCATACATAAATCTTGATTCATCACATAGAGACAAGTTTTATGCAAAAATAAAATATAATGTATTCTTCAACAGATTGAATACTTACATTAAAGGTCTGAGTAAACCTTTAATTCTTTCCTCTAAAGTGAATGTTCTCATTTATTGTAGATCCCTTAGTAAGATGCCTTCTCCTTGGATCTCCATCTTCTTGGTAATTGTTTAACCTTTAGTAATCACTCATAAGCCTTCATGAATAACCTTGGAAAACTAGGCTTGTGGGAGCCTCCATTAGATGAGAACATAAACCCTAATTTTCTAGAGAGAGAAAATATATTCCTTTTTCCTTCTCATAAAAATTACACCTAAAATATACATAAACCATGTATATTTATAGGCAACATAAAGATAAAGAAAAGGAAATAACAAATCCTTCTCAATCTCTAATTCATATGTCTCAAATCTAATAGGATTCCAATATCAAGTTGGGTTATGAGTGAGAATCATTTGCGCTTATTATTTTATTGGTTATAATGAATTAATAATTGGCCCGGTACATGGACCCAATTCAATTAATTCATAAATTAATTTCTATTCCACTAAAAGAAATTAATTGAACTCTAATTAAATAATAAATAACCTCTAAGTCAATATTGCACTTTGACCCATCTATCCATAATTAGTTATCCGATAAATAAAGCCATCAATCCGACTACTTAATTAATATATTTATTTTGGTACCATTGATTATTTCTGATTCGATCACAATAAAATATTTGTTTGACAAAAATAATAATTTAAATAAATAAATATATAATAAATCATTTTGTCTAAAAACGCACGAAGGCCTTCGAATTTATTTTGTGATCAACCATAATCAATACAAAATAAATACAAATAGTAATGATGCAAATATTGAAAATATAACTCTCTAACTATTAATTACATAACTACCCAAAGTGTCGGTCTAACGATCCCGAAGAATTCGCCGAACAAATTAAAGTAATTATTAATTAATAAAAGAGTCTATACTTTTCTCATGCTTAAGAGTCAAATGCCATGACGGTGATAGTGAGTAATTACATACGACGGCTCTCGCAATATATCTCAACTTAACGCGGATCCAGTTCAAATCTTAATTAATTATTAGTCCATCCATAATTATCGACTATAACCAATTTATGATTACTATTTATATTCATATATTGATCGCCATCACATACATATATAAATATTTCTTGTAATCAAGTGGATACTATCAATTCTATAATGAATCGAAACATAATACATTGAATTCACCAATTGTATAAAGTTTAAATATTTCAGAAACGTCAGGAACGTATGTCACTATAATCTAAATGGGAATTTGCTATGCCAGGACATATAAATCCCAACAAACCCATCTTCTTATATAGCCAAAACACTACCAAATAGCATCTGAGCTTGGAGATAGAACCAAATAGATGATTAAACGTATTTGTCAAAGTACTTTTGGATAACCTTTAACATTATTTCTCCTACAGATTCGCTAGTTTTGGAAGTTGAAGAAGAATATTGAAATGGGTTTGTATATATGGAGGTTAAAGATTATATATATTTACTCTTTTGAATTGCATTACCTGTAAGAACATTTGCATTATTTTGCAACATTAAAGTAAGAGTATTTGGAACTGAAAAAATTGTTTAGATATATGTACTTTGAAAGTTACAAACATGCATATGTATGAATATAGACTTGCATAAACAAATCATATATCAGCTGCAGAAAACTATGGACAGGTCAATGGGCATGTCTTCTTGATTATGGGATACAGTAGAGTATAATTTATTAGATGTAAATTCTGCATTTTCATCAAAATATAAATTTGACGTAGTAATGGATATTCTATATCATTACAGGTAGTATTCACTATTCATTGAACAAAATGAGTTTGGGATTTGAGATTGCAAAATTTGCTAGAACTTTCTAATTTATCTTGAAGTGAGAGCTTCGTGGGTTATATTTTCCATGACTATATATGGGTCAGTTTGGTTAGGGGAGAGATGCAGAGAGGTGTGTTGGGTGTTGTGTGGCGTGTGTCATTTGGTGCGTGTTACTGTGTTAGTATATAATGAGAGGGGTAATTTTGTCTTTTTAGAGTTACAAATTTTTTTGGTATTAAATTATAAGGCAAAGTACGTTGAGACTCTCTGAGGTTTGTCAAAAGGATGTTCAGATAAAAGTTAGTCTATTTTGGGACAATGACATCTCCTTAAGTTTGATATAGTTACCAAAGACATCCCAATGGTAATGAATTGATATTTTTACCCTTTGACTTTTATATTGACCAGTTTAAATGTTGAAATAACAATTATAACCTTGTACCCTTAACCATTTGTTTCCTTCTCCTCTTTGTTATCTTTTCCTCCCAACACCAACACACACGTACTGTTACACAGATACACGCATACAGATACATATATATATATATATATATATATATATATATATATACACAAGTCAACCACACCCGAATATTATGAAGGAGAGTATCAGAGTTAACCGAGTCCAAAAACATGTCAACCAAGCGCATTCCAGGCATCATCACCACACCCGAATATTTTGAAGATTCAATCCGAGCACTGGAATTTTTGAAGTGATTAACTCGAGAGGAAAGCTTGTCATAGCTGTGACGATGAAGAACGTATCTTTCACTAGAAGGGGACTTGTACCACACAGGCTCATTGACTCGCAAAAGCTTGATCAATTCATCCATGGCGCTGACAGCAGTCCCAATTACTAGTGATTTTTCAATCTCTTGGATTCCATTCAGATTCAACTGGTATGGCAGTGTGGGATTGTTAAGATTGCCTGAGACAAGATTAAAGGAATAGACTGCCATCCCATGCCCTGGGTAACTTTCTACTGGAAAATCCATTGAAGATCTTAGGGCGGGCGACGGAGGCAAGACTTGCGTGACTGGTTTTCCTAGGAACTTGCTGACAAGGATAGACACTCTTTCATGCTGCAAGACATGTATACCATGACAAAATTTAAAGTAAATGGACAGTGAACAATGAAAATTTAATGTGCCCTGATAAACTTCCAAAAAATCAAAGCAAACCTCTTGTTTTAGTCGAGCATTTTCTATATGTAGTCTCTCTATGTTATGCTGTTGCTCTTCGTTCCTAAAGGGCTGACCGCCACAATCATGGCATGTCACAGTCTTCAGAGCCTCTCTAATTGCGAGGTTCTCACATTGGATTTTCTCATTTTCTGTTCGAAGAGTGTAGTTATCAGCTCGCTCATGCTGAGTCTGAAGCATAGCAAGCAAAGTTAGAATCGCCATCTTTGAGGCAGAATAACAAGTAACGATGCACATCATATGATAAAAACAAAAATGCAGGGTGAGAAGAAGAGAGCACCTTTGTTTGAGTCCTCTTGTTTTGAAACCAAAACTTGACCTGCCTAGACTCAAGCCCCAATTCTCTGCTCAATTGCCACCTTTGTTTCTCATCTGGATGTGGGCATTCCTTGAAGAACCTTCATTACCATCAGACAAAAAAAAAAAAAATCACCTTCATGTATAAGGAGAGACAAAAACAACAACCTCATTCACAGATTCAATAGAATCCCATATCAAAAACTAACCATATATATATACTAAAAAGCATTCAGAGAAAAACTTTGATTAACCACATAAACCAAACAAATTCAAAAACCTTGATTGTCATAATCAAAGACCATCTATATAGATTTAATAAAGACTCAAATGAAAAGAAAAGAAAAAAAAGAAGTAAAACACATTCGTGTATACTAAAACAACAGTCTTTAATCATTAATCCTGCATAAAGAAAATTAATGGAGGAAGACATACATAACTTAAAATCAATGAGACAGTAAAAATGAAGGCCTTCATTTACACAGATATCATAAATTCAAATCAATTCTCTTTCATAAACAAAAGGGTCAAATTGAAAATGGTCATCAAGAACATTCAATGACAGCGTCTTGTCTTCTTCATCGACGGGGTCTTCGATCTGTCGCCGATCTGCTTGTCTTTGATCCGCCGGAGATGGTGGCCTTCTTTGAGTTTCCGGCTGTGAAGAAAGAGTTGAGGAAACTCACAATCCCGCTGCCTTGTGTGTGTGTATATATATGTATCTGTATATACATATATATATATGTGTGTGTGTGTGGTTGTGTGTATATGTGTGTGCGTATATATATATATATATATGTATTTGTATATGTGTATCTGTGTAGCAGTATGTGTGTGTTGGCGTTGGGTGGAAGAGATAACAAAGAGGAGAAGGAAACAAATGGGTAAGGGTATGAGTTTATAATTGTCATTTCAACATTTAAATTGTTCAATATAAAAGTTAAAGGACAAAAATGTCAATTCATTAACATTGAGGTGTCTTTGGTAGTTATATCAAACTTGAGGGGGTGTCATTATTCCAAAATAGGCCAATTTTCATCTGAGTGTCCTTTTGGCAAACCTCATGATGTCAATATACTTTACCCTAAATTGTATTAAAAAAATTAAGGATAAAAGGGTCCATTCACACGTGTCAGAGTCCAAAAGCAAATTGGGGTGTAAGTAAAAATTAAAATCAAAATCTTCATATAGGTAAAAAATGACCTAATCTCATGATGTTAGTGAAATTAACCCATCTTATAATGAGACAAACTTTCTAAAAATAAAAGTCACTAGAAAAAAAAAAAAAAAAAAAAAATTTGTTGAGAATTTGTGCACTATTCTAGAAATTTTTAGAAGAAGGGAATCTTGACAAACCAATAAATCTATATAAATCATTTTAGACAAATGGCATGTGAAAAATGCATGTTCAATATCGGGAAAAATACTAGAGAGTATAACTTTAGACTAATTTAGAAAAACTTGGAGAAACTAAGAAGGTAAAATTGTCCTATAAATATTGAAAGGTGACAAACTAACTAGTTAAGCCTTCCAAAATCCGAAACTCGTTTACTCCGAGAACAATTGGTCGGAGCAATGGAAGAAAAAAAATTTATTGGTTGGGTAAATTATCGTATGACTTTTCTCCAAACCGTATCTAACGGTAGTTTAAAAACCTAGTTATTTGCATACTGATTTAAACTTGTCTAGACATTTGCACATAACAAGAAACTCTAAAATACTACCTAGTTATTTGCATAATGATTTAAACATGTCTAGCCATTTGCACATAACGACAAACTCTTTCTCATCTACAGTGTGGAGGGATGGTTCTTAAATCTTAAACCCTAATCTTTGTATATATTTATATATTAATCTTGGGCATGATCTCCTTTGTATATACTTATATATTAATCTTGGGCATGATCTCCTCTAGCACTAGTGACGTATTAATCTCACATTAGTTGAATTAGAACGATGAAATATTGAAACATCATTTATTTATAATTGATAAATAAATGATTTTTCTTTTTTCTTTTTGATAAGTATTTAATTTAATTGACCTTAAATATCGAAAAAATGGTTTTCTAAGTTCAATGATAAAGCCCATGAAGGAATGGAGGAATTTTGGAGAATCATACCCACCATTGTCAAGTCACGTTAAAGTCCTTCATGTTGCATTGGACATAAAACAAGTGTTTCAAAATGTTTAAAAAGGGCGCCAAGTGCTTAATTAAATGAAAATTGTTGCTTATGTTTTCCTGATGACGACATGACAAAGTGACAGGATAATCCAACTGTTCCAAGGAATTGCCATGAACTGGTAGTGCCTAAATGCTTGTGTCCTCTGTAAAATTTTGTATCATAGCCACTGTTAAAATCCAAGCAATGCTTTAGGAGTGCACTTTTCAATTTAGGTTCCAAAGCTGGATGAATCACACTAGTCTAGTCTCAGCCAAATATAGGCCTAGCTAAGGTTTAATAACCTGAGATGTAAAGGCATTTTCATCTAGACATTCATTTAAAAACTTTGCTACATTATAAATTTGCAGCACCGGTTCCACATTGACAGTTATAAATACCAGTAATGATAATCAAGAGAGCATGATGTCACGGACTTGAACCTTTTCAAGCTCCCGTGCGGCCTTAGACACTTTCAAGCCCCCTTGAAGCGCTAAGTCAGCCTACCCGAGTGTGCTAGCTTAGTGAAGACTAAGGCTAGACAAGTGTTTTGCTTATTTGGGTGTGTAGGAAGAGGTCAGGCAAGTGAGCAAGAGAGTTTGGGAATGTATAGAACTTGTATTGCTTGAGAGGAGAGATTACAACTTGGTTGCTTGGTGAGGAGCAAATGAACTCTCACCTCTTATTTATAGGCCTTTGGCCTTACAAGAACATTCTAGATGTGTACAAATGTGTGGCCTAGATTTAGTGTCTAGAATCCTCCAGAAATATCTACACAACTCCAGAACTATCTACTATGTACAAGACAAGTCTAGAGAATTCTAGAGAATTCTATACAACTCTAGACAAGTCTAGAAAAGGCTAGACAACTCCACACTAATCTAGAGAATTCCGGAAAGTTCCATACTTGTGTAGAGAAGTCTAGAAAGCTCCAGTCTATGCAGGCTCCATGTCATTGTCTGCTGGGCGTCTGCGTGGCGCTTGCGTGGCATAGCCTCTTGGTAGCGGGGTGTGACATTCTCCCCCACCTAAGCTCGCGACGCCCTCGTCGCGTCTTCTTGCTTGAACCGCTGGATATGCTCCGCGAACTGCCATAGTGTATCCTCATGCTCCCAGCTCGCCTCGCTATCTGGCAGGTTCTTCCACTTCACTAAATACTCTGTATATTTGGGCACGCCTCTCCTGCTCATCACACGATCTGCAAGGATGCAATCAACTTCCTTGTCAAAGGATGTGACAACGGCTGTGAGTGCCCTATGCGATATGCCCCGAGTAAGGTCTTCCGTGTCTTCATGATAAGGCTTGAGCATGCTGACATGGAAGACTGGATGTATCTTCAACTTGGGTGGAAGCTCCACCATGTAGGAGACCTTGCCCACCCGCTTGACGATGGGGAACGGGCCCTCGTACCTCCTTATTAGCCCCTTATGCACGCTCCGAAAGGACTTAAACTGTTGGGGTAGTAGCTTAACCATCACCTGGTCTCCCACTATGTACTCCACCCGCCTTCGCTTGGTGTCGGCCCACTTCTTCATCTTCTTTGCCGCCTTGTCAAGGTACGCCCTAGCCAAGTCGGACTGCTCATGCCACCTCTTGGCAAATTTGTAGGCCGCCGGACTCTTACCATCGCAAGTTGAAGCAATGGCGTTGGGTGTCATAGGCTGCCGTCCGGTGACAACCTCAAATGGACTGTGATTGGTAGCCTCACTCCGCTGCAAGTTGTAAGAAAACTGTGCCACCCCAAGGAGTTTGGCCCAATCTCACTGATTAGCACTCACATAGTGCCTCAAATAAAGCTCCAGGAGAGCATTGATGCGCTCTGTTTGCCCATCTGATTAGGGGTGGAAACTCGTAGAGAAGTTGAGATCCGTCCCCATCTTCTTGAAGAGTCCCGTCCAAAACCTACCCGTGAAACGCGGGTCTCTATCACTGACAATATTCTGCGGAACTCCCCAAAGCTTGACCACATGGTCAACAAACAACTCTGCTGCCCTCTCTGCTGTGCAGTCTGTTGGTGCGGGTATGAAGGTGGCATACTTGCTGAACCGATCTACCACCACTATAATGCTCCCACAACCTTCTGACTTGGGCAAGCAAGTAATGAAATCCATAGAGACACTCTCCCATGGTCTCTCTGGAATAGGCAATGGCTCCAATAGGCCTGCAGGATGCTGTTGCTCAATCTTGTCTTGTTGGCACACAAGGCAAGTCCTCACATATGTCTCCACATCATCACGCATCCGAGGCCAATAGTAAGAATCTTCTAGGAGTGCTAGTGTGCGCCGCATACCTGGGTGACCAGCCCATTTGGTGTCATGGCACTCCCGTATCAACTCCTTTCGCAAGTTGCCCCACCTGGGCACAAATAGTCGGTCCCCTGTAGTGAGAAGTAAATCATCCCTTAGCCAAAAACGCCGAGTCTTCCCTTCTTTAGCCAGCTGAATAAGGCTTTTGGCTAGGGGGTCATGCTGTAACCCCTCCTTGATCCGCTCCACAAGAGGGTGCTGGGGCCGACTTATAGCTGCGAGCTTGGCCTTGCGACGAAGCGCATCCGCCACAACATTGGCCTTGCCCGGCTTATATTCGAAATGGTAAGTGAACTCCGCTAGGAAGTCCTGCCAACGAGCTTGCTTGGGGCTAAGCTTCTTCTGTGTCTGGAAGTAGCTGGTGGCAACATTATCCGTCTTGATCACAAATTGTGCCCCGAGCAAGTAGTGCCTCCAAGTACGTAGGCAATGGATGACCGCCGTCATTTCTTTCTCTTGCACAGTATAGCGCCGCTTAGTGTCATTAAGCTTGCGGCTCTTATAAGCTATGGGGTGTTCTTCCTGCATCAACACGCCCCCAATAGCGAAGTCTGATGCATCTGTGTGCACCTCATATGGTTTGGAGTGGTCGGGCAAGCTAATTACCGGCTCCTCTGTAACTGCCCTCTTCAAGTCA